GGGGGTACTCTATGGGTTGAGTTTGAAGGGATTTTTTTTTGGCAGAGGTGAGGGAATGGATGGTTGGGGGAGAATTTAGGGGTCGGTGTAGTTGGGGGGTGAATCCTGCAGTGTCAGAGGTGGAGGTCACACACTGGCACACCACTTTCTCACCTATAAAGAATATTATTTACCGTAACGGTCGGAAATTTCAATAGAGCGAGTCAATAAATGTTGAAAATAACGATCGTTACACACAAGTTCCAATTTACCGAATATTTCCCCTCACACAGATCTCTCACCATTTTGCTCCTCTGCAGGCGGCGCAGCGTCTCTGGTTGTCATGGAGACGGAAAGGGCGGGCAGGCGGTGACGTCTTTAGGCTGCGCCGTGTTGTTGCCGGAAATCTGAGTGGAGGTCACAGCGGGAGAGTGGTGAGTGAGTTCTCACCATACTCTTCTCTAGACCCCGTACCCGGTCTATGCCCACCCTGTAAAATATGGTGGATCCCTGATCCTATAGAACACACTGGTCAGCCCCTTTTCTACTATAATATATGGTCCTTGGTGTACATTGTATACATATCACTCTCCTGTCCCCATATATTCAGGAATCCCAACCTGAAAAAAAGCAATTTCAGGTGCCCTTCTCACATCAGGGAGGTGCCCTCTGAGAGAGCACCCCCTGAATGAAATGATGGCGCAGGAAGCATTAGCTTCTTTGTTATCTGCTGGGTTTTTGTTTTAGTATTCTGACAGCTGTAAAATAAAAATAAATAATAATTTAAAAAAAACCAGCATAGGAATGAATAGCTAGGCTGCTATTGGCGATTTCAGTTTGCAATATCCAATAGCAAGCTGGCTATTGCACCCTCTGCTGCTGTCAATCACTAGAAGAGGATCTGATAGAGAACTTCAGGTCCCCCCTCTGCTGATTGACAGCAGCAGAGGGTAGTGCAATAGCTAGTCTGCTATTGGCTATTGCAAAGTGAAATAGCCAATGGCAATCTAGCTATTCATTCCTATGCTGGGTATTTTTTCCTCTGACTGACGGCGGCTCCGATGTCCGAAAAGAAAAAAAACAGACAGCACGGAAACGTTTACTCTGCTAGATTGAGCAGAGTAAACCTTTCCGGGAGAAAATGTTTCTCTCCTGGGTGGGTGGGAGCCGCTATCTAATAGCGAGAGACCCCCGGAGCGTCCGGGAGAGTTGGGAGATCTGTATATACTAAAACCACCCTTCTTCTTCTGTCCCTATAGAATACTTAGGCCGCCCTCCCGTACCTTAAAAATACATAGGCTGCCATCTTGCCTGTAGAATACATGGCCGTGATCCTGTCTCTATGGATTACATAGATCACCATTCTGTACCTATGAAATACATAGGCCATCCTATATAGAATAGATTAGCCGCCCTCCTGTCCCTATAGAATTAATAGGCTGACCTCCTGTCCCTACAGAATGCACAGGTCACTCTCCTTTTCCTATAGAATACATAGGCCTCCCTCCTGTCCCTATAGAATACACAGGCTGCCCCTCTGTCCCTATAGAATACACAGGCTGCCCTTCTGTCCCTATAGAATACACAGGCTGCTCCCCTGTCCCTATAAAATACATAGGTCAGTCTCCTCTCCCTATAGAATACATAAGCAGCCCTCCTGCCCCTATATAATACATAGACCTCCCACCTGTACCTCTAGAATACACAGGCCACCCTCGTGTCCCTATAGAATACATAGGCCGCTCTTCTGTCCCTATAGAATTCATAGACCATCCTCCTGTCCCTATAGAATACATAAGCAGCCCTCCTGTCCCTATAGAACACATAGACCTCTCTTCTGTACCTATAGACACTCTTCAGTTCCTTCTAGAATGCATAGGTTTCCCTCCTGTCCCCATAGAATACATACACCACACTGCGGTCCATGTAGAATACATGGGCCACCTTTCAGTGTTGCATCCTGGTTGTATTTAATCTGTACCCACACTGATGTCCCAGCACATTGCCTGCGGACCTCTTGTGTCTTCTATAATTTATGCCTTCCCATACCTATAGAACAAAGTGTAGTGGTTTAATGTGGCAAACCTCTTCTTCATCCTCTGCCACCCCTTCCACCATACAATGCACTTATATCACCGCCATGTTGTCCTCCCTGAGATGCTTCATGTGGCCACAAGTCAGAGGTTACTGCTCACCACCAAACCCCTCTACACCCCATATAGACTGGAACACTGCTCAATAATTCCATAAATAAAGCCCAACTCCAGCTAAAGGTTTTGTTTGTAGTTTTTTTACATAGTGTTAAAGAGTCAGAACCTTAACCATCTTTTTGTGCTATCTGTGTCCCAATTGGAGAGGGGACACACTTCTTGCCCACAAGCACACATGTTAATATCTCTTTGATGGGGATACAAATCTCAGAATACCAGTTGTGCCTGCAAAGAAGAGAATACATACTTAACTATATTGCTGCCTGTGCTGCCAAATGTCTTATCCAATTAGGATTACTGTATGTAAAGGAAAATAAACTGTGTGCAGCCATGATAGTATTTATACAGATATGTCTGTTTATTGTTTCAGTATAGGTGCCCTCCGGGCCATGTGTTGAGTGTTGCCCTTTGGCTGAAGACATGGCCAATCCTCTGAGGGGAGAGGTGGTGAAGCTCTACAAGAATGTAAGTTCAGCTGCCCTTCCCCCTCTACAATGGAGTTGGGTCTCTTCTCTTTATCATATTCTTTATCACTCTGTAGCTTCTGTACCTCGGACGGGAGTATCCGAAGGGTGAAATCTACTTCAAGGAACGCCTGAAAAGAGCCTTCATGAAAAACAAGGATGTCACTGACCCCGAGAAGATTAAAGAACTCATCGCCAGAGGTGAATTTGTAGTTAAAGAGATCGAAGCTCTTTATTTCCTGAGAAAGTATCGAGCAATGAAACAGCGCTACTACGAGGACAGCCCCAAATGACAACTATGACCTTCTGTACCTTTGCATTGTCACTGGTGCCAACATAGCAATGAAAGACTCTTATCAGTCTGCGTTATTACACACTCAGATTATCTTACAAGTTGATTGTTACCTGAGGGGAAATCTAGGCATTAAGAATTGTTTAAATGATCTGTCCACCCAAACCAGATCTTTCAGTGTTTGGTGATTGCAGGAGAATGAAAGTAAATTACTAAAATCTTCTACAAGCTTTACCATATTATTATCATTTCAATCTTTTCATTTACATCTGCAGCTTTCAGGTGATCCTGCCATGTGGGTTCTTGTTCAGGCACTTTCTGGTATAGGGTAACAACCAGGGCTTGAAAAATTTGATAGTGTCTCACCAGTCAGTCAAAAATTTCACCAGTCAGCATGACCGGACTATAGCCTTGCAATTTATGTTAAAAAAGTTTGGGGACAGATAGAGCTTTCTTTTGGAGGTATATAATCCCCCCGGGGGTTTTTTTTTTTTACTATATAATTAAAAAAGTACCATAAATGTAAAAAAAAAAGTTTCCCTACGTTATAAAACATTTATTCTTACCCATATTTTTAGTAAAACATAAAAGTCGGGGTCACATCGGGTAAATAGACACCAAACATGTCAAGACTTAAAATTGCCTGCGCCCGCAAAATGGCAAAAAACACCCATAGGCGACTAAAAAATGTTTTAAAAAATAAATGTTATGCTTCTTTATTTTTATTTTTTATGAATCTCATTTTTTTATTACTTTTTTTTTTTTACATACAACTTTGTTGCTATTACATGGGGGGCTAAGAAGCCCCCTATGGGATAGCCAATTTACATGACAGGTCCTCTTTATGGAGACATCAGGGGTCTCCAGAGAAGCTGATGAAGCCGAGATCTGCTTCATCAGCTTCTGTAGCTGGAGAGTGACACTGAATGCAGGAAGTGATGTAATATACATCACTTCCTGCATTCGGGGACTGAGAGGAGATCAAAGGGAGTTTGTGTACTGAACTCCCTTTGATCTCCTGTCACAGAGCCGTGCCGTGCCGCTCCCGGCCGCATCAGGCACAGCAGATCTCGGGACCGGAAACGGCAGTGACAGCTTCTGATACAAGCTCCACCCTGCCACTCCTAAAAGTAGTAAATTATGTGATTATTCACATGAGAGAGAGACCTTCCTACCACAGCCATTGCAAGAGCAGCGGCCACTACCTAGGGGGAATGATTGGTCACATGAGAGGGAAACCTCCCATTCCTACAGGGAATGATTGGTCACATGGGAGGTAAACATTCCTACCACAGCCATTGCAAGAGCAGCGGCCACTACCTAGGGGGATTGTTTGGTCACGAGAGGGAAACCTCCCAATCCTAGGGGGAATGATTGGTCAAATGGGAGGGAGACCTTCCTACCACAGCCATTGCAAGAGCAGCGGCCACTACCCAGGGGTAATAAGTGACATCACAGCTGCATGACATTCATATTCTGGCATTCCTAGAACTCTTCCTGGGCTGCGCATTACACTTTACTTATGCCAAAAAGTGCTGTTTGATTTTCACAGAAGGTTTTACAACAACTTTAACCCATGCACACTACTATATAAAGAGGTGAACTGTGTAAGAGGCAGTTGTATAGCAGCCTACAGTACTGATTTAATCATAAGGAGTTCATTGTTTTCAACGAGTTAGCCATCTCATAGACTTGCATTGGCAGGAGCTGTAAAGCACAATCACTGTGTAGCCCTAAAAGCAGAAGAGCCTTTGTATTAGGAGCCAATCTGGCTGCCCTCATGTGCCAATATAGTTAAGAATTATACTCCATAAGAGCCCTGAGTACAGCATTTGTGGTTCCCTACAAAGTTTTTAAAGTCCAGAATGGTTTTCAGCTGGAGCAGCCTAATCTACAGCAAGCAGGGAATGTGAAGGGAGGGGAAGAAAAAGCCACACAGGACAATAGAGGGAGACAAATTTTGTTTATGATAAAAGGGTGATTAATTCTCATTATAAACAGACATCATTACAGTCACCGGGTCATTACATTACAATAAATAGGTGCATTACAGTTAAAAAGGACAAAAAAACCTAAACAATTACTATCACAGAGACATTACTATAAAATACTAAAAATTGGAATTCAAACAGTGGTCATTTTAATCTGTAGTTAATTGTGTCATCGCGTGGTCAGCACAACCACCATGTATTAAACAGACTTGGAAAAAAAAAATAATGAATAAAAGCACAATGTACAAAATGTGCACGTTTATACAAAAATAGTTCAAATACATTCCAGGTAAACAAAGTCCATTTTCCCCATTCACACGCGAGGAAGGAGTGCGAGGTGTGGCAAAGCGCACAGCCAGGTGAAAAATGAACACGGTAAGACCATGGATCGGGGTGGGGAGTAACTATCATACAAGGGAGGTCTGTTCCACTTGAGCTATTGAACTTCCTGAATATCAGACTTCAGTATAAAATGGAAATTGGTTTCGTATTCTGAAAGGATTGGTGCTGGTTCATGTTGGGCTCTTCTGACTGATAAGAAGATGGTACACCACCCAAAAGTTTTGTTGTATCTCGGGGTGTCCGCCACGACCTTTGTACCCCACTGGCCCTGTTAGAGTTTATTTATTTTATGCTGAGTGCAACAAGAAAAGCTATAAGACCCCCCCAGGTGGGCAGGAACAGAGTGAGGTTTTACAGCAAAGAATTCTCCACACAGAGGTCCCTATGTGGCTAATAAAAGCAGAACTACACAAAAAGTTATTTCTTTTCCCTTGCTCCAAGCTATTTTCTCTGTATTGGTGTACACTACTGGGCTCTGTGAGATGCAGAGTGGAGCCGGGCCCCTAGACAATGTAAGGTCAGGTCACATGAGCAGGAGTTTTGGGTCTCTCTGGCCATTAGGTGGCTACTGATGACATAAGTGAAGATGATAGTAACAGCTGTTTGAGCAGCAATAGCGTTCACAGGTCTGCCTGCACTGGAGGAGGGCAAAGCCAGAGGAAAAGTCTACCACAATGTGCAAGTACTGGGAAGAGCTGTCTACCCTCCGCTCCACTACCATTCCATTTCAGGGGCCCATTTACATATGCAATGGTGAGATGCACCTTTTTACCATGTGTTACTGCAGGCCACACTATGCCATTCATTGCGAGTAACTCCCCATGAACCATCTGTGTGCTGCGGTGCACTGGTGTTGAGCATTGCCACCCCCCATTTAAAAGGGGAACTTCAGGGAAAAAACAATTTTTAACCCTAACAGTGGGTCTACCCCATCCACTGCAAGGGTTAAGTGCTCATTTTTGACTAGGCTAAAAGAAAAATAAATAATAAGCACGCCTCATCCTCAGAGCAGTACAGCTTAGACTGGTCCCATGCGCCTTGCTCCCCCTCCACTGCAGCAATCTAAGGCTGCTCAAGTTCTAGTGTATAGGAAGTGAAGGCACCAAGGGACATACCATTGCAGCAGAGGAGAAAGGCTGGAGGGGTGGTGTCATTCCAGCCAGATCTAAGGTTCGGGTGAATATAACCGTTTTTTTTTTTTAGCACCTAGACACAAAATAGCACTAAACCCTTGAAGTGCAGGGATAGCCGCACAGCAAGGGTTAAGCATTTTTTTTTAACCCCAGAGGCCTTCTTTAAAATGAATGGGCTATCTTAATGCAGTGCGCCTTAACCCATGAAAACATGTAATGCAATGCATTGTGTGAATGCTGCCTTAAGGTGCCCATACACTGCTCGATTCTCGTACGAGAATCGGGCGAAATCCCGCGATCGTACGAGAATCGAACAGTGTGAACTAAGACGTGCAACCGTTTCTACTGTACGGTCGCACGTCTTTTGTCGAGCCAACATGTTCGAAAACCCGCTGAGAATTATAAGATTCTCGGCGGGTTTCTAGCCTGTTCGTCCGATAGCTGCGGAACGGGCCAGTGTGCGCACGCGCACACTGCCCGTTCTGCATTGCCGTCGTCGGAAGCCCGCCCCTCAGCGGGGCAGGCTTTCGATGATCACAAGTACGATCTGCCCGTCCAAGGTGGGCAGATCGTCCAAGCTTTCAAGAGGCATACGACCATTGCAAGACAAAAGTCTTGCAATGGTCGTAAGGTGTATGGGCACCTTTAGGGTCTGGACTGCCAATTATTGCCTGTGAATCAGCTGAGACTAACCAGGGGGGTGTTTTTAAAAAAAAAAAGGAGCCAGTTGAAATATTGCAGCCAATCAGTTGTAGTTAGGGCTTCACTTAAAGTGTATTTCCACTGTCGCAGCCAAATTGGGATAACACCTATTTAATATTTTGTTCACATGGAAGCTAAAAAAATTTTATTTAAAAATGCTTCTTGCAGTTGAAATTGCTTTTACTTGGGTTAGGGTTCCTTGGCTTTAAGGGTTAACATTTCTACTTGCTTCTCCTTTGCAATGTTAGGAGGCCTGGCTTCTGCATTGTATGTAAACGAAGGAAATGAGAGAAACGAAGGAAATGAGAGAAACGAAGGAAATGAGAGAAACGAAGGAAATGAGAGAAACGAAGGAAATGAGAGAAACGAAGGAAATGAGAGAAACGAAGGAAATGAGAGAAACGAAGGAAATGAGAGAAACGAAGGAAATGAGAGAAACGAAGGAAATGAGAGAAACGAAGGAAATGAGAGAAACGAAGGAAATGAGAGAAACGAAGGAAATGAGAGAAACGAAGGAAATGAGAGAAACGAAGGAAATGAGAGAAACGAAGGAAATGAGAGAAACGAAGGAAATGAGAGAAACGAAGGAAATGAGAGAAACGAAGGAAATGAGAGAAACGAAGGAAATGAGAGAAACGAAGGAAATGAGAGAAACGAAGGAAATGAGAGAAACGAAGGAAATGAGAGAAACGAAGGAAATGAGAGAAACGAAGGAAATGAGAGAAACGAAGGAAATGAGAGAAACGAAGGAAATGAGAGAAACGAAGGAAATGAGAGAAACGAAGGAAATGAGAGAAACGAAGGAAATGAGAGAAACGAAGGAAATGAGAGAAACGAAGGAAATGAGAGAAACGAAGGAAATGAGAGAAACGAAGGAAATGAGAGAAACGAAGGAAATGAGAGAAACGAAGGAAATGAGAGAAACGAAGGAAATGAGAGAAACAATCTACACGGTCTTGTACTAAGTCTTTCTAGGACAGAGCTCGTGGATTCAGCCATTTTGCCTGCTGCAACAAAACCAGTAAGAAATTTGTGTATATATATATAATTAGTATGCTGCGTTTATGGTAAGACATAACATATAGAGGGGTTTTCTCAAATTTGACTGCAAAAGTGTAAATGTACTTGGCACTCCAGACAAACCACTGAATACATACATGTTTACCCATCAAACGGTTTCTAATTCTGTAAAGACAGGCAGTCTTCTGATCCACACAGCTACACTTTCTGTGACAGCTCCAGATTGTCACTGGACAATCAGCATCCTCACCTTTTGAGCACATAGCAGGAAGGTGATCCAGGAAAACCTGGACCACAAGATGTGGCGTGACCAACCTACCGTGTTAACCACAAGAGCAGCTGAACAAAATAACGCCATCTCTATGGAACAGGGTTAGGTAAAGATCTATAACAAAGTCTGCTAAACTCCCTGACGTGTACAGGTGACAGAGATTTCTCTCCCACCCCCCACCCCCCTTAAAGAGTATGTAAAGCCTAACAATCATCATCTCTTATTTGTACTTTTTTGGTCTGGTAAATTGACAATTGAAAGTGTTTTGTTATATCAGTTTCACAACTGCAAAAATAAAAACTACCTGTGGCATTGCCAGACATTATGTGAGCCGGTGCCTCCCTGTGCAGAAGGAGTGGTTCTTGAGATATGGGGGTGGGCAGATGAGGCAGGAATATGGAGATGAGGTGGTATGAAAATGAGGTATCCTTTGTAATGCATCACAAAGGAAGTAGGCAAGTCTGACACCACATGTTTTTGACATTTAGAGCCAAAAAATGCACTAGGTTGTCAAAGAGGAAGGCAGGAGCACCCCATCAGGTAGATTTGTTTTTTTTTATTCATATTTTTCACCCTAAAGCAATCCTTTACCACATGTGTGTTGCATTAAGACAGCCCATTCCTCATTCCTAGAATAGTGGGCTGTCAATACATGAACATGGATGGAACATGTCCCACCAGTATGGGTGCATTGGCACATACGGTAGTTGTGCACTGGGATGCCAATTCTAAATAAAAGGCACTGCAAAACAGTGTGCAGAATTGTGGAAATCGGTGTTAAAACTGTGTTCATGGCAAGAGCACATTTACTTCCTATCCCAACAACTGAAAAGGATAAATAAAAACTATAATCTCCCACACTAAAAATGGCTCCCTGGCCGCTAGAATGACTTCTTGTAGCCAATACCCATTAGAAGGTCTCTCCACTTTTATTTGAAAAACCTAATTTAAACCAGACCAAGTTGGGCAGCAGAAACCTCACTCCTAATACAGAGGTGGAGATGAAGATAACTGGATGACAAGTAGGGTGGTCACACATGATCATTTAGGCTTGGCAAACATTGCATCTTTTTCTGCCTCTACCACCAGTACTGAACAAAATGTTTTAAAAAGGAGAACTATAGGGTTAAGGCTTTTCCCCATAGTTCTCCTTAGGGTAACGGAGGACACAAACTAGCATCCTCCCATTACCCTAAGCTCAGTATACCGCGGTATACTGAGACGCTGAAGCGGATCCCGACAATTATGTCTGGATCCGCCCAGCTGCGTGAGTGACAGCTGGCTCTGCCTATCTAGAGGCAGAGCCAGTTGTACTCGCCCCCTCCCCCATCCATTCCACCAGTCAGCGCTGGAGGATCGGAGAGGGGGGAATCCAGTTCCTCCCCTGTCACGGCAGAGAGCTGTGACAGGATCGAGAAGTGAGCGAACGCCGGTATGTGTTTGCTCCCTTCCCAATCTGCTGAGCCGACCTGAAAAACAATGTAATTCAGTGCCTCCATGTGCCAAGTACCCCCACTTCTGGCTGAAGAACTAAAATGTTTCATCATGGAAAGAGTGCATTTCCAATGTGATGTACTACTATGAAATTCTAACCATTTGAAAATTATAAATTTCTTTTTTAATTGAAGGGGGGGGGGGAACCCACAATTGCAAATGACAAAAAGTAATGCTTCGTGTCAACTTGTCCATTTCTGCGCAAGCTACATCACTGTACATGATGTCAAGGTGATGTACACCGATCTCATCACATAAAAAAGGTGGACAAACACAAATTCTTGCCTTTGACAGCTGGCTCTGGAATTTCACTTGAAGGGAGCTGCTAAACTAGGTCACTGAAATGTTATACAGCCCTAGAATACAGCAGTAATACCAGGCACACGCAACTCCTCATGTAGGACTCTTTGAAAAAACAGACCTTAAGTGGAACCTGGCATGGCAAACCCTTCTCTCAGAGCAGGTAGCAAGGCATCTTTTATGCACCCAGAGCACTCCTGATCACAATTACACAGGCCTCAGCTCTAGATCTAAATTAGCCCTGCTCTTCCCCTATATGCCTCAATCCAATGAAGGTCCCTCAGATCAATAGTGAGGAACATCCACTGGAACATGAAATTCCAACAAGGTGGAAAAGGCACATCGAACTCTGACTAGCATTTGATAGAAGCCCTTATTTCAAACAAACGGACACGTACTGAGTTCAGACAACTTAATTAGCAATTTGGCTTTACTCCAAGACGCCTTAGATTTCAGATTGAACCTACGAGACCAAGAAGAGCAGAATTCAGACCCTGCTTCACACACAAGTTTTATTTCAAGACCGAGTCCCTTTGGGAAATTATAACTGTACATGTTTGTGGTGAAGCCATGTTTACAAGTGGAGACCACCAGGAAACACCACAAACCCATTGGTGTAATGAGGAAGTCTAGAGACCATAAACTAGCTGAAGTTGAAATGAATACAACACGACTGTTGGAAGTAACCACAATCACTGCCAGTAACAGGAGCATGAGATGTTAGGTCATCAGATTTCAGGAATCTCCTCCGGGGACCGTCAAACTGCCTCGATTTGTAATAGCTTTGTCTAGACCCAAACCTTTCAGCAATGCTGGTTGATTATTGGAATATGTGCTGGAGTTTTTCTTCTGTATTTTGTCTAAAAAAAAAAAAAAAAAACATTGCTATTCCTTTAGTCTATCACAACATTGTCCCAATCATTGAAACAAAATGTCCAACCTTCAAGGAATATATAGAAAGACTCTTCACCTCCAATTTGGTGGTGAACAGGTTTCGCACAATCCACATAGCTTCAAAGACGGCTGTTAGCACCATTTTGTCACATTGTGGGTAGGAGGATTTAGCAGAGCATGTTAAGAGTTACATTGAAGCTCTCAAAAGTTCAGAAGAAGTTGTAGGGATGTGGCCTTTGAGAAGTAGATATGGTGGGGCACCACAGGCTGGACTATCCGCAGTGGCAGATATTCCTCCATCTAGTGGTACAACTGGAAGAGGATAGATCAGAGGGGGAAAAAAAAAGTGCCAGGAAAAAAAAAGTCCATAGTTGTGCATGCCTCAGTCATGCAGTAAGGTTTTCAAGAAGGGAAGGTGGAAAGACAAACAGGATGTGGAGATCGAACAGCGCACATGAAACATCGATTGCTACATGCACAAAAGCCAGCTCCTGGAGTCTCATGGGCGCTTCCACCACTAAAGTACTGGCACAAGAGGCGGAGATACAAACGGTTGAAGCAGTAGCCACAAGTCCGAAAATAAAACCCAGGAAATTAAAAACAAATGCTAATAATTTAGTGTAAAATGTACAATAGGATTCCTCTCCGGCATGTATTCACAGAATGATGCATTTCGACTTGGACTTTTTCTTCTTCTTTTTGCCCTCCTTGCTCATCTTCTCTTTGTGCTTTCGGATTTCTCGTACTAAAGTGTAGAAAGCGTCATCGACTCCCTAGAGGAAAGAAGGGATGGAAAGTTAAAATATGAAACTGTGTTAAGAATGACCGTCAATAAGGTTCTGCTTTTTGTATCTAAAGCCCATTTCATATTTAAACTGTCTAACTGGAGAAATTTACCTTCACTTCCAGTTGTATAAATACAACAGGAAATCTCTACAAAAGGTGAGGAGCATCTCCTTTTAGAAAGTGGTTACTGGAACAGCTGTCCCTATTGGAAGATTTCCCTTCTAATCATATTTTGGCAACTTAAAATTTCTGTCCCCAAATTTTCAGCCCCAATGACAATCGGGTGGGGGTCCAGGTAAGAAAAAAAAGTGGCTTTAGATTAAGCACATTTTACAGAATCGACAGAAGATATCCTTTATACCCCCACAATCCGCCGCCATTTTGAGTTGATAGGCTTAAATTAGGGAAATGGTTGTCTGACAGTTTACAGCAAGTACAGTCACCCTGAAATCCTGGTCTGCATCCTTCACTTGGGTTAACAATTTAGAGAATTGAAACCACAAAGTTATTACAGCAAAGCAGCTGGCATTGTCAGAAAGATGTCAAACCGTAGCAGCACAACATTTCAGATCCCTCAAAAGAGAAAATATGGACTCAAAGTTTTGTGATCCAGAAGCCACCTTGCCAGGTCCTGGACCTCCTTACAGACACTGTTGGACCTCCTTACAGACACTGTTGAAAAGCCACATGGCCTGGTATAGGACACCAATGAGGTCACCCCTTCCTCCTTTAAAAAAGAGAACTATGAGGTGAGTGATTTCCACTCCTCATAGTTCTAGCTGACCTGTGACAATGAGACTGTCACAGGTCGGCTCAGTAGATCGGGAGGGGAGCGAACACATACCGGGTTCGCTCACCTCTCGATCCTGTGACGGCTCTCTGCCGTGACAGGGGGAGGGGCTGGATTCCCCTCTCCCCGCTCCGATCTGCCAGCGCTGACTGGCGGAACGGACGGGGGAGGGGGCGGGTACAGCTGGCTCTGCCTCTAGATAGGCAGAGCCAGCTGTCACTCACGCAGCTGGGCGGATCCCAACGTCTAAGTCGGGATCCGCTCCGTCTGCGGGTAACGGGAGGACGCTAGTTCGTGTCCTCCCGTTACCCTAAGGAGAACTATGGAGAAAAACACTGACCCCATAGTTCTCCTTTAAGCATGTTGGGCTTTCCACAATGACAGGGTGCCAACAACCCCTCTTCCTGTCTAAGCAATGCCGGGCACAGGCTCACAGACACTTCACTTGGATATTCAGGTACTAGTTCCAAGCAAAAACAAACAGCTTCCGGCCCCCCCTCCCCACTTTATTTTCTAATGGAGTATGTGATGTAAAACCCTCTTTTGGGTCTGTCTCCCTTTGGAGAGATTTCACTTCATATCTTTGGAGACAACAGGAAGTTAGGGGAATCCCTACAGACCTTCGAGTGATATTAAAACTTCATTTTTTTTTTTTTATTATAAAAATAAAAGGCCAAAACAAGAAAGCTTTTTTTTTCTTAAAACACAAACAACGTTGAACTCAAGTTTCCTAGTGGCTCCCTGCAGTGCTGTCCCCCCCACGCCTTGCATGGGTGCCTCCATCAGCCAAGCTGAGCTATGAAGGCACTCCACGCATGCTCATGCCTGCCAGTGGCTGTGTGCGTCCATAGGCACAGCACTGCAGCAGGCCACGCCCCTCCTATCCACCCAACAGGTTGATTGACAGCAGAAGGAACCTATGGCTCCTCTGCCCTCAATACAGAAAATATATTAAACAGTAGAAACCACTGAGCCTTTAGCAAACATAACAGGGGTCCCAACAGGAAGGTTTCAGATCATCTACTGTTTCAGTAAACTAGAATTTGAAGTTTCACTTTTTGTAGGTACAGACGGAATCTCCCCAGCAGGCACACAGGAGCAGTTGAAACCAGTTAAGAGGTCTTCCGCCTGTATCAAAAAATACTCAGTGAAAGACTTAACCACTTATAGCATGTGGTCTCTCAAAGTTCCAAACTCTAAACTAGGACACAAAGTGCTAGAGGTCGCTGGCCGTTCGGAAGCAACATTACACTATTTATGGGGCAACAAGTCACGACGCAGAAATTCCTTAGCAGCCAACTGCAGAGAAGTGAGGTCTTGATGAACAGTCCAAACGCTGACCACACAAAATATGCGTTGAGACCTGAACACTTACCGATCACATGACACGGCACTTTTTAATTCTGATACAGCCGGGGGTCTTCTCCTCTTTGCTCAGTTTTTTCAATCTGTACTGTCGGATCTCTCTCACCAATGTATAAAAGGCATCCTCCACTCTCTGCATTGTAAAACACAACCCCCTTTAAAACCACTTATCGAGGGACAGGGATAGGGATAAGACTAAAGGGACTGCTGTGATTTATCTAAATACAGAGCTCGAAATGAAGCTCTCCAATACTTATAGTTCTTGGAGAAGAAAAAAAAAAAAAAGTTTTGCTTGGTGCTGTAACAAAGTAAATTATATTTTTGCCATGTCTGTTCATGGAATAGGCACAGCCTTAGCCAGGTTTTGCTGGTAGCCATGTTGTCTGCCTGCTGCAAAATTATAAGAGACCCTACATCAGGTCTACACAACATTCCATCAGAAGATAATGTGGGTATATAAACATTTCTGTGCATTTAGTTATGCCATGTACATAGAAGCAGCCATGTTTGCCAATACCATGCCTTGTTTCCAGTATACAGGTACAGAATGTTGCATTGCCAGTCCTCTCACTTGAGAACTATGGGGTTAAGGCTTTTCCCCCATAGTTCTCCTTAGGGTAACAGGAGGACACAAACTAGCGTCCTCCCGTCACCCTAAGCTCAGTATACTGCGAGCTATACTGAGACGCCACAGTACACAGAGAAGTCGCAGTTGATGCGGATCCCGACAGTTGTCTGGATCCGCCCAGCTACGCGAGTGACAGCTGGCTCTGCCTATCTAGAGGGAGAGCCAGCTGTACCCGCCCCCTCCCCCGTCCGATCCGCCAGTCAGCGCTGGCGGATCGGGGAGGGGGGAATCCAGCCCCTCCACTGTCACGGCAGAGAGCTATGACAGGATCGAGAGGTAAGCAAATGCCAGTATCTGTTCGCTCATCTCCCGATCTACTGAGCTGACCTGTGACAGTCTCATTGTCACAGGTCAGCTAGAACTATGAGGTGAGTGAAAAGCACTCACTTCATAGTTCTCCTTTAAGTGACACTAAACTCAGGAGTTAAATCTTAAAAATGTATTCAAGTACCTTAACAAAAAAATGGATCTTATTTGTTTATCCACTCAGCTGTAGATCCTCAAATCAGCTCTGAATTGGTGCTGACACTGTCCTTCCTTATGGACGGTGGCTACTATTCTTCCCCATGGTCCCTGTGTGTTGTAAGGTAGCCACCGCTCCAAGCTCACGCCCATGATGGACTAAAGCCTTATGTAGAGTTAGCCAATTTTTATTTTTTGTAATGGCACCTTTACACTTCACGCAAACATTGATTACAAGTGGCTGAAAGGTTTGAATAGTTCAGAGATTTATTGCTACTTTTATGTTGATTTAGGAATAATGCTTCTATATATTCTCATAATAATTTTGACTGTACACACAAAATCGGTTTCATTACTGCTTCACATTTTTTTTTAATGTACCAATTAAGCTTTCATCTTAGTGTGCATGTGTTAAATCACAATGTTTCTTTGTATTGCGCCTCAGCCCTGATGAAGGGGGGGGGGGGGGGGTCGGGACC